AAAAACCCTGATCATTAAATTAGCTAATAAGTCAATAACATTCTAGCAAACAGACAAGAACCTAATATAGGCCGAACAGACGGACTGAAAAGGCCTGCAAGAGGGGGATGTGAAATGCATCATGTTTTAATGCCAGAAAACGAAAGCGAGAATAAACGAACATCTCTGCAGATTCGTCCCCATTCATATCCCCTCGTGAAATACAAAGATAAAGTTCTGATATCATTCAAGAGCAGATTCAAATCTTATTGGTTTCTCTACACTTCAAACCGTTGCTTAAATAGTTTCACATCTAGTTTTCTTCAACATTTACACTACTATTGAAATACTTTGGGATGGAAAGGAACTGAAAAGCTAGATGATCCGTCGAGTCGGCCCAAGACTGTACGACGTGCTCGCTTTGCTCGAGCGAGCCACATTTGTAGAGCTTTACTACATAGACAAGCATCGTATGGTGGTTGTTGTGCAGGAGGTTTGTATGCAAAATGTCTCAAGGGCCTGGGAATGTCAATGCTGGAAGACCGGCACACAGCATGCATGGCTTTTAGCTGGAAACCCAATTCCCTTCGGACCCTTAAAAGGAAAGGTGAACGGACACGGGTGACCTTTGCCCTCCTCGGCCCACTGGAGAACGAATGAAGCATGCATGCTAGCTGGAACCGCGTCCGCTTTCGGAGGACGACTCCATTTGGTTGTAGCTCTGCCACGTTTCTAAAGGCACACCAACTGTTGACATTCACAGCCAAAGGGGGAATTACTCGTTTAATATTCTTTCATCGAGTAAAGCTCATGCTCGGCCTCGGCGCCCGTGGCTCGTTCGGAGCGTTTAGTGCCAGCTAGTTTTCAACGAAGAAGAACAAATAGTGAAGGAATGATGGGCTGTCCTCATCTGCTGGAGACGAGCGATCACATGGAGATGTTGCTGTACAGCTGCTCGATTGCCCTGCTGAAATACTCCTTCAGCTCTGGTCTCCTGGATTTTAAAGTGGGGGTCAGCAATCCGTTTTGTATGGAGAACATTTCTTTATGGATGTGGATGTCTTTAACCTGTCAGGAGTCAAAGAAAGCGTCGTGAATTACCAAGCAGCACTCCACATGCTCACTCTTAAAAACAAAGCTGCTTTTGTAGCATTCACGCTTCCATGCATGGAAACTTTCCACTGCACAAAAGATCATTCTTTAGAGTAATCAAATCTTCCTCACTAAAAATGTTTTCTCTGTGGCATTGCTGTGAAAAACGCAGTGTAATAACTACATTGGCTTAAACATACTTTAATATATTATGAGATGTGACACAAATTGTGCTTTCTGCTGCTGTGCCTTTAGAAAATTGTCCTCCAAAAAACGATCGTGATTTTTGTGTTGGTTTAATTGAGGTCATCATGGATATTTTACATTAAAACTCCTTGACGAAAAACATGTAAAGCCTGTTGAAATACTATGATATTCAAGAAAAAAAAACAGTTTCTACATTTCATTTATTTTTGTTGTGTGCTTAACCATATTTTGGTGACAATTGTGTACCCGTAAGTGACAAAATCTCCAAAAACTTCCTTTTGGGGACATCCTCGTTTGTAAAAATCGTATAAAGTAAACAAAGTTTTCTGTTAGGATAAGTGTGTGGTTTAGGGTTGAATGATAATATTTATAACTAGCTGTATATAAACACAATCGAAGTCCAGGAATTTGATGCAATGTCTCAGTTTAGACGAGAGTGTGTTTCTATGAGTTCAGAATGATTTCATTACACCGCTGCAGTGCTGATCATGGTTTTGAGATTCAGTAAATTCGCCCTGAACACAAGAATGCACGGTAATCTTAGATAACTCAGAGGATTTCATCTAACTCAACTCATGAGATGCGTTTGAAGAAGCACATGAGCCAGAGATGAAAGATGACGACTAGAAGATGTTTCAATAAAGAAAGAAGACCTTCATTAATCAGCAATGACGCACCTCACCTTTAAATTCAAAACGAAGTGTTTCCTTAACTAATCTGTGCTATTACTAGTCCTAAAACACGCTTGGCAATAGTGAGGAGTCATTTTCAGGCCAGAGTGTTTAGTAAGCAGTAACTGTGTTTATTACTGCAGCTGTTGATGGCTGATGTTGTGAACGCACCTGTTCGAATGAATGGAGGCCACTGGCTTTTCCCAAGCGCACCATGTCATCCAGAATGGCTTTCTTCAGTTCCTTCAGACACGAAACAGAGACCAAGGTCAAAAGCCGCTAACGTGGTGAAAGCTGCACATCACACGATGCAAAATACACTTTTTTTCTTGCTATATATGCGCTATATACTTCTCTACTTGCTTTTGTTGAAAGTCAGTCTTAGAGTAACTCGACTCTCTATTGTGCAAGTATGTAACATGGTTAAATTTGTGCTTCATGTGTTTGTTGAATGTGCACTACGTGATAAATGTACATTTCATTGTACGTGTGTAATGACAATAAAAGGCATTCATCAAGCCTTACTTTATTTTCACACAGCTCGTCATAGCATCCCTCGAAGCCTTTCTTCTGAGCCCACGAGGGTAAGACCTCCGGATCCGGGACGATGATTCCCACCAGACACGACTGCACACACAATCATCAGCGTTATGAACCGGGCAGCTCTGTGAACTCGTGCTTCGCTGCAGGAACGTGAGCCACTGACCTGCAGGCTGTCTCCGTGCACATAGAGCTGAGACACGGGCTCGCTGCGGATGTAGATGCTCTCGATCTTCTCTGGGGAAATATATTCTCCTTGAGCTAACTTGAAGATGTGCTTCTTCCTGTCGATGATCTTCAGCGTGCCGTTCTGATGGAAACAAACGAAAGAAGCCATCATTCAGCTGTCTGAGCGACCGGGATGGCCCAAACTGTTCTTTACACTGGTTTTTGGGAGGGTTTTAATCTGTATACTCAGTATACTGGTGCTCTGGTTAAAGATGCAAGAAGAACAAGGTCTCAGTCGAGCAATATCAGTCAGATTTCTATAAGGATAGATCATAACATCAAGACACAGCAGCGCGAGGGTCGTCACATAAAGGCAGACGTACCGACAGCCACTTGCCAATGTCTCCCGTGTGAAGCCATCCGTCTGCATCCAGCGTCTCAGCCGTCCTCACGGGATCCTTCAGATAGCCCTTGAAGACATTAGGGCCTTTCACACAGATCTGAATCAAGAAAGAAACAATACAGGTGGTGATTGATTTTGAGTGTTGTTTGCAGATCTCTTATAGAGACCCTCGTATGGAGTTTTCCGTTCTTCCTCACAGTCTCACTTAGAGACAGAAGCAGTGCTGTGAAAGGATTTGTTCAGCCATTTACGGTTCAGAATGTCACGATATTTGAAAATCAATATTTCATAGTTTATAACTTACAACACTCAAGGTTTATGAAATTACTTTTTCCATCATGCATTAGACATTTTAGGGAAATTGTGTTTACATTTCTGCAAATATAAGTAGATTTCTACTTTCCGTTTTCTTGATTGTAAAGTATTTTCAGAGGATTTGTGCGCAGGCCATGTTAACAAACCTCTCCCTCTCCTTTAGCAGCAAAGTAGTTCTTCTCAGCCACATCCAGCAGTTTAATGAGATTACAGGGCAGCGGAGCGCCTACATGACCTGTAGAAACAAACCGGAGGAGAATAACTGCATCACAGTGATATGCTTTAGCACGCCGTCCAGTCTTCAGTCCACAGCATGGACGAACACGGAGAGAAACCTGCACAAACATTTCAGTACAGAGCTGGAAAATGATTGTGTTACTCCTGAAAACTCTTTACATGCTGTCCTGTTTTCAAATAAATACACATATAACACAATCCCCCAGGCAAAGAGTAATATCATGTATTATCTGGTGTATTTCAACTGCTTCAACAAACATAAGTCCAGACCTGTTACAGATGACTGTATAAACGACTGTTTAAAGGAGATAATGACTGAAAAACACAATGACCGACTGTAAAGACATCACTACTGAGAGCAAAACTCAAATGAAGTGTCATGTAAAAACCAGCCACAAGAGGGAGAGCTGTGCGTACAGATGGCACAATCAAGACATTTTCTCACAATTGCTTCATACTGCTGCACAATATTCAACTCACTGAATGCACATGGTGTCAGTCTCTGCAGGATATAATCTTGATCGGCCAGTCTACTCACACTACACCGTTCATACACATGTGAATGCTGGAGACGGGAAAAACAAGATCGCTGCGCTCCAAAGTTCAGGTTTGCTGAACTCTGACCTGTGAATTGATATCATGTGGAGACGTGTGACCTCTGAGCCGCATTAAAACAAACCTTCAGTC